CTGCTGCTGCTGCTGGCGAGGGTATTTTTGCGGATTTGCTTCAGAATCAGCAGCAGCTCTCTGATTCCTTCTTTGTTCAATTTGCTTCTTCCCCTGGAAAGGCAAAGAAGTGCTGCTGCTGCTTTGATGTCTTTGTCGGCTCCCAAGAAGGTCCAGAGGCAGTCGCTCTGCAGCAGCAGCAAACTTGTCGCGCAAAAACGACACGAACCGGCACACCGCAGGCCCCTCCTCCAACGCCTGCTGCTGCCGCTGCTGCTGCTGCTGCTGCTGCTCGTTGGCCAGAGAAGGCCTGCTGCTTCTGGATTTGCTGCTCGAGTTCAAAAGTGAAAGCAAAGAGTCGTTGAGAGCCACAAAGTCCCGGAAGCGGCGCTCTGCGGTGTACGTACACCCCAACGCAGTGAGCCGGATTCTGTAAGTCACGTGGGCGGAAAAAGAGTTCGGAGAAACCACCAAGTAAGAAGGAATCGACACGCAGATCCCTGCTGCTGCTGCTGCTGCTGTTGCTGCTGCTGCTGCTGCGGGGGCTGCGGGGACTTCGCGCGGTGCTGCTGCTGCTGCTGCTGCTATGCGCTGCTGTACTGCGGTCTCCATAGTTGAGGCGCGGCCGCCTGGAGCTGCTGCAGCTGCTGCTCCCACCATCACCGCGTCTGCTGCTGCTGCTGCGGCGGCGGCGGCCCAGCTGCTGCTGCTGCTGCCGCGCTGCTGCTGCTGCTGCTGCTGGAGGGTGTTAGTGCAGGATGGGAAGCTGCGTGGGGCAGCGGCAGTGGGCCAGGAGTGGTCCAGTGGTCACGGCTGCAGCTGCAGCGAGGCTGAGGAGAAGAAACGAAGAAAAGGAAATAAATAACTAAAAGAGAGGAGGCAAGGGAGAGTCCCGCGTTGAGTCACCGCTGAGGTGTACAGACACCTCGGGGCGGAACGCGCAAAGGGGGGGGAATAAAGAGCCAGTGAGCCGCCTCATTGTTTATTTGTTTTTAAAAACAAAGAAAATAAAAAGAAGGCGAAGGCATTTCGGCTTTTAAAGTGCAGCAGCAGCAGCAGCAGAAGAGCAGCACGGAGAGCACGAGGAGCGGCACGCTGAGCTGTACAGACACCTCAAGCTCCTGCTGCGGAACTGCAAACACTTCTCGCTTTTGTTTTATTTTATTTTTATTTTATTTTTTATTTTTCATTTGTTTGTTATTTATTTGATCGCCGCAGCAGCAAACCGCCGAAACGCTGCAGCAACCACTCCCGGGGCCCCTGCTGCTTCCGGCTGTCGGCTTCCGCTGCTGCTGCTGCTGAATCCCTCAAAAAACAACCATTTTGTTTAATTTAAACTGTTTAATGGATTTGATTTCAATTATTTTGTATTATTTGGCGAGACTTTTGCAAAGACAACGCTTTTGCTGCTGCTTTCCCGAGACTGCAGCAGCAGCGGCAGCAACACCAGCGCGGGTGACAGGGGCTGTCCGCAGCGCCTTCGAACTTGCGCATTTATCCATTTACTTATTCAATTATTTATTTTATTTTATTTATTTTTCCTTTTAAATTCAGCTGCTCTTTTGGCGGCAACTAAAGGGGGTTCCAGCCCCCCGGTCGTTGAGCTGTACAGACAGCTGAGGCGAGGTGTGCATACACCGCAGCGGCACTTTATCTGCAAGCCCGCTGCTGCTGCTGCTGCTGTTCGTTTTGTCGTTGCTGCTGCTGCTGCTGTTCGTTTTGTCGTCGCTGCTGCTAGCTCTTTTCCTGCTGCTGCTTCCGCTGTTGGCTCTCTCCATGCAGCTGGTCGTGCTGCTTGCTGTTGCTGTTGCTGCTGCTGCTGCCGCCCTGGCAGCTGCTAGCGTTGCTGCTGCAGGTTTCTGCCGTTGTAGTTTGTTTGCTTTGGCTAGCTGCGGCTGCTACTGAGAGCACAGTTGCTGCTGCTGCTGCTGCTATTGCTGCTGCAGCGCAAAAAGTTGCTGCTGCTGCTGCTCAAAAGGTATTTGTTTTGTTGGTATTTAAAAAAGGCTTAATGGCTGCAATCTAAAGCAGCATCCCCTGAGCATCAGCAGCAGCAGCAACAACAGCAGTAGCAGCAACAACAGCAGCACCAGCAACAAGAACAGCAGCAGCAGCAACAGCAACAAGAACAGCAGCAGCAGCAGCAACAGCAACAAGAACAGCAGCAGCAGCAGCAGCAGCAGCATGCTCGACAGCATTATGTGAATTTTCGATTACCGTTTTGTGCCTTTCGTTTGTTTGTTGACTAATTATTATTTCCTTCAATTAATTAATTTAATTTAATTTTTTGTTTTCTTTTGTGTTTGTCTGTCTCCATTTCATGAATTTAACCTGCTGCCGCTGCTGCTGCTGCTGCTGCTGCAGCAGCAGCAGCAAAGATGTCTTTTCATATTTTGAGAAAGAACCCTTTTGGTGTTTGTCTCGAGGGCCAAAAGGAAAGTGAATTAAATTTGAGTTAATTTCTATTGTCCATTTGTCTGTAAATATTTATTATTTAATTTATTTAATTTATCTAATTCATATATTTCCATCTAAAGTTTCCACTTTAGATGGAAATATGGAGATAAATAAAATAATTGTTTAAAGATAAATGGAAATAAATAAATTAAATGAAATAAATAAATTAAATGAATTAAATAAATTAAATAAATTAAATAACTTAAATAAATTAAATAGATCAATATTTAAAGACAAATGGAAAATAGAAATAAGTAAAATAAATAAAATAAATAAGGACAAACAGAAAATGAGACGCGCGTGGCTCTGCAGCCCTGGGCGGGCTGGGGGCGCAAATGGGGCAAATATGCAGTTAAATGGGTCCAAAAACTAGAAAATTGAAATTAAAAAAGAATAAAATAACAAAAAATGATAAATAAAAGAATAAATTGAACAATAAAGGGACAATTGTGCGCAAACGGAGCGTTTGGAGAGCCGAAACGGGAAAACTGCACAAGCCGAAACGCAGCCGGTACGCCTCGCAGCCTGTCTCCCTTAAAACGCCGCTTGTTTCTTTTAATTCAATTCTAATTCGTTAAAAAAGAATAAATAAAGTGCCTTTGGCTTTTTAAACGGGAAAAAACGAGCAAGACACGGGGTGTATGTACAGCTGCCGAGGCTCCGCTGCCGCCGGCCCGCCGCCGCCGCCCACTGGAAGGCTTTTTGCGTTTGTTTGAGAGTTCTAAGCGTTGGATTGAATCAGTTTAATTAAATTAATGCATTTAATCGGGTTTTAACTGCTGCTTACGGCCAGGCAGCGGCTGCTGCAGCACAGACGGACCAGCAGCGCCGCCAGCATGCGGCAGCCGCGGCGGCAGCAGCTGCTGCAGCAAAAACCCCCTCTAATTCCCCACTAAAAACATATTAATGACTTTTAAAACAAAAACAATAAAGCATTTTGGGGCGATTTTCCCGCTAACCTGCAGCCAGGGAGCTGCTGCGCTCCAGCTGCCTGTGCGGCACAGCAGCAGCAGCAGCAGATATGCAACAGTAGCAGCAGCAGCACTCAACCAGGCCCGCCCAGACGCACTGGGAGCCCCAAGGCCTATCTTTAGAGCTTGCTTCCTCCGCTTGAGCAGCGGCAGCAGCTGCTGCTGCAGCAGCAATTGCTGCTGCTGCAGCGGGAAGGAGCAGCAGCGTCACCCGTGACAGCAGCAACAGCACGAACGGCAGCAGAAGCAGCAGCAGCAACAGCAACAACAGCAGCAGCAGTAGAAACAGCAGCAACAGCAACAGCAGCGGCAGAAACAGCGGCAGCAGTGGTAGGGACGGAAGCAGCAGCAGCTGCTGCAACGGTAGCGCGCTCGGCAGGAGACGCAGCAGCAGCAGCAACAGCAGCAGAAGCAGCAAGGGCATCAACGGAAGCAGCAGCAGCGGCAGCAGCAACAAGAGCCGCAACAACAAGAGCAACAACAACAGCAGCAGCAGCGGCAATAATAGCAGCAGCAGCAGCAGCAGACTTGAATTGGCGTTGCTGCTGTCGTAGCTGCTGCTGCTCTGTGGGGCTGCAGCAGTTCATTAATATAATAATAATTATTTATCACCAGCAGTCCCTTTTTGCGGATTTATTTATTATTATTATTTATTATTTGTATTTATATTTATATTTATATTTATATTTATTATTCTTTATTTGTCATTTAATTAGAAGGCCCAGCAATGGCCGGCGAGGGCGACACAGAAGAGGGGCCCCCCCAGGGGGGCCCCCTGGGGGGCCCCCTGGGGGCTCCCCTGGGGAGAACTGAAGCAGCAGCAGCAGCAACAGCAGCGAAAGAAATAAACGAAACCCTAAAAAATGGTTTTTGCTGCAGCAGCACGCACGGGGCCCCGCTCCCCAACAGCCCCGCACAGCAGCAGCAGCAGCCGCCGCCGCCGCAGCAGCAGCAGCCGCAGCAGCAGCAGCAGCAGCAGCCGCCGCAGCAGCAGCAGCCGCAGCAGCAGCAGCAGCAGCAGGGGCGGAACGGCAGCAGCCAGTCGAGCAACAGCGGGAACAACTGCAGCAGCAGCAAAGGCAGCCGCAGCAGAGGGAGCCGCACGGTGCAGCAAAAAGGCAGCAAAAAGAACAGCAGCAAACTGCATGCAAATTCAATAGCAGCAAGAAGAAGAAATGAACTGCTTTCTGCTGTTGCCATTCCCAGGGGGTTTGTCTTTTATTTCAAACTCATTTTCTCTTTTGCTTCCTCTTTTTCCCCTTTATTTGCTGCAGCAGCAGCAGCAGCAGCTGCTGCTGCTGCTGCTGCTGCTGCTGCTGGTCTCTGCTGCTTATGTGCAGCGAGCTGCTTCTCTGTCTGCTCTCTGGTGTGCGAACTGTTTTATCTTTGTTTGTCTTCTTTATTTCCTTTTATTTATTTTCTTTTTGTTTATTCTATCTATTTTATTTTATTTATTTTATTTTATTTCTTTTATTATTTCTTTTTTTATTTTCTTCATTTAATTGTCCTTTTTAATCCATTTAATTCTTTTCGCCACTTTGATCCAAACCCTCCCTCTAAACCCTCCCTTCAAACCCTAAACCCTTTTTTTAAACCCCAAACCCTCGCCTCTAAACCCTAATTCCTGATATCTAAACCCCAAACCCTCATCTCTAAACCCCAAACCCTCTATCTCCGACGCGTTTTCTAAACCCCAAACCCTCTCTCTAAACCCCAAACCCCCTTTCGGAGCCCCAAACGCTGGCCCAAAGCTCCAAACCCTAAACCCTTTTTTGGGGTTTGCAGGTACTTGACGTACTGGAGCGAGCGCGTGGAGGAGTTGGTGGCGGACGAAGAAGACAACGAAGAATTCGAAAGGACTTATCGCAGCCACGAGCAGCGCCTTTTTCCCTTTCGAACTTCTTCGACGGAGTGGACAATCAACGGCGCTTTGGGCGAGTTTTGAGGGTTTTGAGGGGGTTTTTAGGAGGGTTTGGCGAGGGTTTGGCGAGGGTTTAGAGGGGGGTTTGTCGGGAGGTTTTGGAGGGCTTTGGAGCGGCGTTGAAGGGACTTTTTGAGGGTTTTTAGGGGGTTTTAGACGCAGTTTAAAGGGGGGGTTGAGGGGGTTTTGAGAGGGTTTTGAGGGGGGTTTGAGGGGGTTTTGAGAGGGTTTAGCGAGGGTTTAGCGAGGGTTTAGCGAGGGTTTGGAGGGGGGTTTTGAGGAGGGTTTATAGGACTTGTCGGGTCTTTTCGGGGAGGTTTGAAGGGGTTTTCGAAACACCTTTTAAAAGGACGTCTTGGGGTTTTAGAAGGGTTTTTAAAGGGCCCTTTTGGGGTTTTGAAAGCGTTTAGGAAGGGTTTAAAAAAGGGTTTTAAAGGGTCTTTTTGGGGTTTTAGAGAGGGTTTAAAAAGGGTTTTGAAGGGCCTTTTTGGGGTTTTAGAAAGGGTTTAAAAAGTGTTTAAAAGAGCCTTTTTGGGGTTTGAAAAGGGTTTAAAAAGGGTTTGAAAAGGGTTTAAAGGGGGTTTAAAAAGGGTATTGAAGGGCCCCTTTGGGGGTTTGAGAAAGGGTTTAAAAAGGGTTTGCAAGCGCTGCGAAAGGGCGTGCAAGGGCTTGGAGGGTTTAGGGTTTGGAGGTTCAGGGTTTGGAGGTTTAGGGTTTGGAGGTTTAGGGTTTGCGCAGGACTTTCGGTGTTTCTGATGGCCTGGGGGCCCCTCGTGATGGCCCTGGGGTTTGTCTTTGGGGGCCTCACCAGTTTTGGGCTTTCGCTGGCGAACGACATTTGCCGTTTGCGCCGCCGCCAGTCCGCAGCCAAGAAGCAGCGGGTAAACCCTAAACCCTAAACCCTAAACCCTAGGCCCTGGGGCTGGGCCCTGGGGGGCGGCGAGCGCTGCGCCGGGGGCTCCGCGCAGGAGGTTGGGGGCTGTGGGCCAGGGGTTGCGGAGAAGCGGCTGGAAGGGTTTAGGGTTAGGGTTTAGGGTTTAGGGTTCAGGCTTTAGGCTTTAGGGTTTAGGGTTTAGGGTTTGGGGGTTGCTGCAGCGCCGCATTGATAACCTCATGCGCTGGGCCAACTACCACTTCGGGACCAGCCAGTCGCAGCTGCAGCTGATCTTCAAGGTGGTGTTGGAATACCAAGTGCGGCGTTTAACTCATTACTTGTTTAATTAAACGAAATAAAAACAAAATAAAAGCGGAAGTAAAGAAGGGAATAAACAAAATAAACAGCAAAACAAATGTACTATTGATGAGGTGTAGTTACAGCAATGCAGTGGCTTTGAAAGGAACAGTTGAAACTTTTTCGATCTGGTGGGAGGCCCTCTGCAGGTTGTTGTTTGTTTTTTGATTCATTTTCCCTATTAATTATCTTATTTTGTTTTATTCTATTTTGTTTTGTTTTGTTTTGTTTTGTTTGCTCTTCACTGTTTTTATTCTCCTTTTCCGTTTCAGGTGTTGGCGCGACTCGGCGGCAGCTCGAAGACCGCAAGGTCGCAGCTGAAGCTGCTTTATCAGTTCATGTAAATAAGAATAATAAAAACAATAAAAAGAATAGAAATAATAAAAATAAAGAATAGATTTACTTAATAATGAACAACTAAACGCGCAAAAGAACAAATAAAAGCTGCTGTCTGAACGCGGCAGGGGTTTCGCCTCTGGGGTGTACAGACAGCTGTCTTCATCGAGTCTTTCTTTGCATTCTGCGTTTAAGTGGGAAAGCGCTAAAAAAAGGTTTTTAATGAAATGTTGGTCTGCATTTTGTTGAATAATGAGTTTATTTCTTTTAATTTGCTGCCGATTGACGCGTTTTTCGCTCGAAAGGATGAGCGTTTTTCGCGTTTCGTCTTGCACGACCAGCGGCTGAAACGGCGCGATCTTCGGAGTAAATGGCTTTCTTGTTGGGAATTATTCATTGAAACAAAAAGCTAAAAGTTTTTAATTTGCAATTCCGCAGCATTTGGCGCAGATCGCGTCAGTTTGCAAAGACAGTTGGCGGGAAAAGCTGAACTGGAGTTTTGCACGAGGAGCAGCGGAGCTCTTTGAAGACTCCTTGTGGAGCAGAAGTGCAATTTTTGGGGAAAAAAGAATATAATGGGCATAATTAATGACATATAATTGCATTTGATTGTTTTTTCTTTTTTTTCATTGCAGCTCCCGGGACGACGTGGGCCACTGCCTCTGGCTCTACCTCGACTACTTCCTGCTGCACTCCAGCCAAATGACCCGCAGCGAACTCTCCATGTGTTTTCTCGTTTGCAAAGTCTCCACGCAGTGCGTCCAGTCCCTCAGGCAAGTTCTTTGTTTTTGACTTTCACTCCGGTTCAACTAATTCAGCAATTTATTGGTCCACTTGACAATTAATTCGGCAATTTACTGGTCCATTTGGCAATTGATTCGGCAATTTAGTGGTCCATTTGGCAATTAATTCGACAACTTATTCATCAATTCATCAATTAATTAATTAATTAGTGAAATAATTCATCAATTGGTTAATTAGTCGATTCATTAATTCATCAATTGATTCATTGTTTCATCAATTGGCTCATTAGTTCGACAATTAATTCTCCAATTAATTCATTAACTGGTGAATTCATTAATTGATTAATTCCTTAATTGATTTACAAGTTGGTTAATTGTGATTTATTTGTTTATTTGTTTATTTAATTTGAATGTACTTCGCTGGTTTTCGCCCGGATGGACATTTGTTTCTATCTTTTGATTTTCTCTTCAGCATTTGTTTTTCATTATCTATTCGTGCATTTATTTGTTTATTCATTTAGTTTAGTACTTATTTTTTTATTTATTTATTTGTTCATTTATTATTTATTTTTATTTATTTGTTTATGTATTGGCGGCGTATTGGCAACGGTGCATTTAACTGGCAGTGTCAATACACCCCATGAGGCCTTCAGCTCGCAATGAATTCATTTAATTTGAACTTTATTTTAATTTTAATTTAATTGATTTAATTTAATTTAATTTAATTCAATTATATTTAATTAATTTAATTGTGTTTTTGTTCAAAGGAAAAGGCCTCCGCCTGTGGTGGTTCGAATGCTCGAAATGCTGCAAGACGAGCAAGTTGAATATATTTTCCGAAGAGCCAAAGCAGCAGCAGCTTGGTCCAAAAATGCTGTCAGACCCGACTCTGCTGCTGCTGCTGCTGCTGCTGCTGGTCTTGCTGCTGCTGTAGTTCCTGCTCGTCCTGCAGCTAGTTTTCTTGCTGCTGCTTGTGCTGTTGCACTTGTTGCTGCTGCTGCTTGTGCTGCTGCTAGTCCTTTTGCTGCTGCTGCTGCTGCTTCTTGTTTTGGTTTAGGCTTATCCATTATTGGTTTTTCCTTTTGAATTTGTTCCTGCGAAGTTTGCTGCTTTCTTTTATTTCTGTTGAATCACTTTTGTTCTTTTTATTAATTTGCTGCTTCGGCCTTCCGGCACTTGATGTTCAGGTGTATATACACTGCAAAGTGGACTTGTCATTTCGTTTTTTCGAAGTTGCCCCTGGGAATTCAATTTAATCATTCAGTTTCATTATTTACTATTTATTATTATTTATTATTTATTGAGTTTGTTTTGTGTTTAGGAGGCAGAAAGAGAAGAAAGACTCATTTTATGCGCCGATGTGAATGAGGAGGTTCAGCGCCACGTGATGAAGGGCGGCGATCTCGTGCAAGGTGTACATACACCCCAACTCCCGAAACTTGAACTTCGCCAAAAACAGTCCAGTCAAATCAAATCAGATTTTCTCTTCTTTCTCGCCACTTTGTTGGCCAGTTGGCCTTTATTTCATAAAGACTTTTTAATTATCTTTATTTTCGTTTTCCTTGTTTTTGTTGCCGCGGTGTATGTACAGCTGGGCCGCCGCTGCGAGCCCCTAGGCATTCGTTCCTTTCCAATTTTCGCATGCATTCACTATTATTTAATGTTTATTTATTATCTATTCATTATTATTTATTATTTATTTATTATTTGTTTATTATTTATTTATTATTTATTCATTATTTTTTGTTTGATTTCTTTCATCTCCTGCAGCTCTGCGAATCGAGTCGTCGTCGCCTCTTGTCGGCAGCGACACTTCAGAGTCTGCTTTTGGCGCCTCCGAAGAAGAAGCCAAACAAGACGTAAACCCCCAACTAGGGTTTAGGGTTTAGGGTTTGGGGTTTAGGGTTGTTTGAGCAGTTGGCCGCGCGTTAGACAATATGCAGGGCCTGCGTTATTTGGCACTATTTGCTTGAATTGATTGTCCTTCATTTAATTCAATTGCTGCTTTATTACTTGCTGTTTGTTTTCATCTATTTGGATTTAATTCGAAGTTGTTTTAATTTCTTTTATTCTTTTTCATTTCAGATCTCCCCAGGAGACCTTATGCCCCGCAGCGAGTTCAATGTGGCTTTGCCCACAGAGCCTGCAATTGATTTGGGCCGCCAGGCTTCAGTGCTGCGGGAAGCAGCAGCAGCAGCAGCAGCAGCAGGAGCAGCAGCAGCAGCAGCAGGAACTGCGGCCACCAACGCAGCAGCAACAGCAGCGGGAGCAGCGGGGCACGCGCCTTCGCCAAACGCAGCAGCGGCAGCTGCAGCGAGCGCTGCAAGCGGCAGCAGCGGGACCGGAGCAGCAGCAGCAGCAGCAGCAGCTGCTGCTGCTGCTGCTGCTGCTCCTTCCAGAAGCATGCGGAGCGAGCGCGTGGACTCTCTCAAGACCTTAACTGCCAACACCTCCTTGCAGGGTTTGTCTTTTGTTTAATTTTATTTATTTGATTTGATTATTTTCCTTTTTTATTATATTTAATTCGTTCTTTCTTTTTATTTCGTGCTGCATCTTCTCCAGAAAGAGACAAAATCAAGTCCCGGAGATCCTCAAAACTCGACAAAAAACCTACTGAAGGTGAGAGCTGCTGCTGCTGCTGCTGCTGCTGCTGCATCTTTTTACTTTAATGTTCAGACATTTCGGACTTGTATCTGTCAAGAGAATGGGAGAAGACCCACCGAGTGATCACCAATTCATTTATTTATTTTATTTATTTGTTTATTATTAAATTTATTAGTTTACTTATTTATTTTTATGTTGATTAAAGTTGAGTTTGCTGCTTAGGGCCTCCTCGGCTGTTTCGGTCTTACGAGGACTTGGTGAATTTTGACACGAAGTTGAAGCACCAGACGCCCATGTGGGTTTTCAATTTCAGTTTAGTTTTAACTTCTTTACTTTGAATTCTAGAGTAGTTTCCCCTTTACTCCGCCTCCAACTTTGCTGCGCACTGCCCTCGCTCCTGCTGCTGCTGCTGCTGCTGCTGCTGCTGCTGCTGCTGCTGCTGCTGCTGCTGCTGGTGCCAGCAGCGCTAGGAGGAGCAGCAGCGTTAGCAGGAGGAGCAGCGCTAGGCGGAGCAGCACCCGCCTTGCCACCGCGAGCAGCAGCAGCACGGCGCTGCTGCTGCTGCTGCTGCTGCTGCGAGTTGCGCGCAGCGCGTCGTACGAGATGCAGTTTCTGGAGGAGAAGTGCGTGCAGAGCGCAGCAGACCCGCAGTGGGAGCTGACGGTGAACCAGCCCTTGCTGAAAGTCTTCAAGTTCAACTCCAGCGAAAGCCCGGTGGTTCTCGTGAAGGCCTTCGCGGAGCTCGAGGCCGTGCCCCTCAACGTGCTCTGCCACCACATCCGCCACATCCCCACGCGGCTCAAGTGGTCAGCAGCAGCAGCAGCAGCAGCAGCAGCAGCAGCAGCAGCAGCAGCAGCAGCAGCAGCAGCAGCAGCAGCAGCAGCAGCAGCAGCAGCAGCAGCAGCATCATG